GTTCAATTCCCTGTCCTCAAAGTGGATCCACCTTGAAGGCACATATCTGAGTCACGGGTCTCAAGAGCACGGTGTTACCCCTAGCCTTAGTCCTATGAGGAGTACAAGCCAGACACGTCACCCATGTGGACAGTTAGTTGCACCTGATGCCAGTGGGAGTCTAGGACCAGGCTGTACTTGCAAAACCAGTCCCATGTTAACTTTATCTGCTGGCCCTCCAGGAAGAGGACAACACAGCATTTTATTTTAGATTTTGAATGCCTCATTACTATATGGGGCTGATGACTGTCCCTTAGTCTAATAACTGGGTGGCTTTGGGGCACAGTTCTGAGCCTGACCAAATCAGAAATGGGGTGTACACCAAATAAAAGGCAGAACCAAGTAGGGAACCATGCTTATTTTTTCAGACTGCTAGCAGAAATATGCAATAAAACCTTGTCTGCATGGCAAAAGTTCGATGGTTTTGCTATACCAGGCACTAGCACTGACAAACTCTTGAGTGCAGACACTGCTTATACCTGAAAAGAGTTCTTTTGATATATAACATTCCTCATACCCCAAAAGAAATAAGCTGCCCTGGCAAAGCAGCATTTCTACTGTTGGTAGAGCTGTCTTGATCAGATTGCTTGTTCACATAAAACAATTCAGCCCTAAGAAACAGCCTTGCAGGGATGATCTCTCACTGCATGTGGGATGAAGTCTGTCCTCTTGTCTTCTTGGCAACCGTCTTTACAAATCTGAAGAGGACTATCTTGTCTCTTATCTGCCTGCTCCAAATAAAACCGTCAGTAAGTTCTTCCAGCCTTAGCTCTGGTCAATACCATTACTTCCTGCAGTTACTATATCTTCAAAAGTTGTGACTTTTTCCCTCCCTCCTACTTGACAGAGCGTCTCAATCCAAGGTGTTTCCTACTAACAGGGGAGGCTGTCAAAGAATAAAAGTATTCTTACCAGTATAACTTTGCAGACAAAGTCCTGATGCACTGTAGGATGCATTGATGCACTTAAAATCATGTAAGAAGTCTGTGATACAGTCAGGTACTGAGCTCTGCATTCAGCTGTAACTGGTGACCTGACCTTAAACTAAATTCTCTAACTGCAACTCTAGTTCTGCTATGTGTGCAAATAGGTTCATGCTCGTGCTTTCTCAGTTAATATAGACATAAGAAATGAGGAGGCTGTAACATCAGTAAATTGCTCTGCGGACACAGCTTCCAGATTCTTTATTAGCAGAGTGGACTGGTGAGCTGGTGGCATCACTCCTACGGTACCTCAGCACCAGAGCAGCTTGGATGCACCATCCCACGAGGGCAGTTTCAAATGCCCATCCCAGGCATGAGGTGAGATGCTAAACCAAGAGAAGACACAAAGGATGAACAACTCCTGGGGCTTGCTGAGCTTCGCCTTATCTTTCCTTCCTTCTCATTCAGCCTGGCTCTCTCCAGCCTACGCAGCTCCTCCTTGCTCACTGCTGTGGGCAGCAGCATCTCCCGAGCTCACCGTGTCCCTGCTGGAGAACATTGTCCCATCCTGGCAAGTGATTCCTTCAAAGGGCTTTTCACATCATCTCCAGCAATTGCATTAGTGCCACAGGGCAGTTAGCTGACAGAAGGAAAAAACATGAGATTAAACTCCCTGTGAAAGACTTCCAAGGGCTTTTTAATTTTAAGATTAGTTAGCCACAAAGACATTTTAAGGAAACCTGCTGTGTTGGGCAGGCCCAGAGGCTGTTTACAACAGTTGGGCAGCGGTCCATAACGCCATCAGAGACACGAGCCCACAGTCAAGCAGATACAGCCCTGAAGGTGCCTGCAAGGATGGCAGGGTGATCTCGGCCAGGACACCACAAGCGTTCGCTGTAAGCAGCCCTGTACGCTGTGAGACGGCAGAGAGACACTTGGCAAAAAACAAAGGCACGACAGCCCAGACAGTCACAGCCCTGTGCTCTGCTTGGGGCTTCTCCAGGGGATCCATCCATCTCATCCATTTTTGTAAGAAAGAGTTTATCTTAAGTACATTTTTAAATCACCTGCTTTATGGCTTGGGGGCAGAGGCCTGGCTGGCAATTTTTGGATGCTCAGAGCTCCCAGCACAGGGGTTGTCTCTTGAGGGGTCTGTTTGGTGGCACAGGGTGGGAGGGGAAATGTTCATCACAACGTGCCAAGTAGAGGCAATTTCTGTAGCTTTACTCCAGTTCACAGAGTCAAAGGGAGACCTCCTTTCCCCTAGTGCACCCACAGCAATACCTTGCAGCATGCTTATCCCCAGCTTATCCCCAGAAGGAAAACTAGGGGCCCTTTTGCCATCTGCCTGGAATGGATTTCACTGTGCCCAGGACTCTTCCCTCGAGCATCCTTCCAGCCAGCCGTTCCCTTTGGTGTGGGTGGAAGATCCCCTAAGTTGTTCTTCATCTCTTGGCCCCACACTGGGCCATGCCCACTTCCATGGACGGGAATCTTCCCTTTTTATAGATAAACCATCCTGACGATAGCAAAAGGCAGCTACAGTGACAGCCTTTCTGAAACAAGCAGAATTTATTGGTCACTCTGATTGCAGCAGGCTGTGTCCCGCGCCAAGCTTTACCAGAGCCCTTATCAGCAGGAGTGGCAGCTGTCCCCAGCCTCTGCCGCTCTGGATCCAGGCCAGCCTCTTCTCTCTCCTCCAAAACATGCCATTTCTTGTATCTTAAGCCAATAGGTCTTGAGGGTGTCTTTGTTCCCACTTTATTTGCTGTGATCTTCCTTTCCCAGCTGAACAGCCCTGTCTGGGCTCATCCCACTCTGTGCCAACATCTTGTGGTCTCCCAGCTAAGGGCAGGAGTGGAAGCAGCAGACAGCAAAAAGGGAATATGCGCCAGCCAGCCCTGCCTTGGTCAGGCCATGGAGGGCTGGAACCACTTCGAAGGGACTCTGGGCTCCAAAAGTCTGTTTGCACCATGCAGAGATCCTGGGGCTCACGGCGAGCATCTGGGACTCACTGAAATGGCATAACAGAGGACAAGGCAGGAGTCAGGTCCTGAACATGAGCCAACTGCTGTTAGCGAACTGCTAAGGACGAAGCTGATGGCTCACGGACCTCTGGGCACTTCGTGGCTCCCAGCCCTGCCCGAGCATCCCAGCGTCACTCTGCACCACCACTGCAGAAGTGCCCCAATGGCCATTTTTATCTCATGGCAAAACACCAGCACTGCCTTTGCCCCCTGTCACTGTGCTGGTGAGGCGGGGCTCTCCTCCCCAGAGAGGGCAGTCTGCACAGCTTGATGGCCTGGAAATGCGCATTTGATTCCTGCTTTCCCACCAGCTGCTGGAGGTGCTTTGGTCGAGCCACTTCCCCTGTGCTGCTCCATTCCCTGGCTGCAAAGGAAGGAGGCACTACTGACACTGCTTCCTCTGTAAAGACCTGTTAGAGCTACTGATGCAACACTGCTAGGACTAGGCAGCGTCATTTCAACACCAGGCTTGCCGTGGTGTTCGTCTAGCCTGCATCCAGGGCTTGCCTCTAACCCCTCTTTGGGATCAGATGGGCTGTTGCTGATCATAACTTTGCTCTTGCTTCACACAAGGGAGGGGCAACTCTCACTTGGAAAGCCTGGCACACTGGCTCTGCAACACCACCACCGCATCCCGCCCCTTGCCTGTACCTCTAATTGCAGATTAAGGCTGACAGGACCATCCAGGTGCTGACCGTAGTGCACAGTTGTGGAGCAGGGCACGCTCCACCTCACCGCTGGGATGTGTCCGTGGCCCAGGGTGGGAGAGGAGGAACAGAACGATTAAGACATTCACAGACACTGGGGCGAAAACATATTGATGCTCCTGCTGGCCACACTATTTCTGATACAGGCCACACTATTTTCTGATATTGCTGAGGTCCACAGCCACTGTGCAAGCGTTTGCTGCTTTGGGACCCAGAGGTACATGACACACCAACAGACCGAGTGTGTGCTGCTGGATGCACCCACAGTCATTTTGTTACTGTTTTGTCTGCCCATGCCTCAAGTGCAGGAGACCTTTTCTGTTTGGTGGCAACTTCCAAGGTTTTGAACTGCACTTTTGTGCTATCTGGAACAAGACATTGAGAACGGTCTTACCTCCTGAAATCATGCTGAAATGCCCATTTACTGACTGAAAGGAGAATGACGTGCTGCAGGAAAGCTGGACTGGTTTCTGGGGTTTTTTTCTTTTCCTTTTCCCCCAAACCAGGATGTTCTTGGCACTGCCAGTGGGGCTGGATCCTTTGCCTGTCAGACAGGCTGTCTGTGTAGGATAGAGGGGTCATAAGTGCAAATCCCTGCTTTATCAGGAGGAAAGCAGAAAATTTATTCCTAAATCATTCATCATTCTGAGAGACCGACATGTCTGTCCTTGTTGCTTTTTAAGTTATTCCTGGAAAAGCATCACTGAAACTGATGTACTTACGCAGAATCCTTCCATTCCAGTGAAAAAACATTCTTCCATTAAGCCAATCTGAGTAAAAAAAAGCTCTGATCGGTGCTGTTTAAAAGCTTCCCTCTTCCTCCCCTCTTGGGATCATACACGTTTTCTTTCAGATATTGTATTCTGATCAAAATGCACAAGGGTAACGTTAAGAGCATTTTCATTGCTGATTCAGAAAATGCTTTGATGAACTTCTTAAAAATACATCAGTACTAAAATATGAAGGGCCAAATTTCTGCCTAATCTAAGCTGGCTTCAGTGAATCTCTACAAATTTATATCCTTGTATGCATCACAGGTTGAGAGATTTAGTGCCAGAGGGGCCCTTGCTTGCCCTGCAGCTTGGCCTTCTGGACAGAATAGGTCAGAAGTCCCCACCCCCAGGCGATTTCAGCAAGCTCAGAGGTACTAGGTGGGCTGGGATGTGCCCATCGCTGGTTTAGAGGCCGGTATCCCCAGATGTCCCACTGGAGCTCCATATGCGAGAGGCACCCCAGCATCGCTTTGTTTATGGAGGTCCAGGATCAGCCCTGCTGGGCAGGCAGCAAAAGGCAGCAGAAAGCAGGCTGATGTATTTCGGAGAGAGCCCAAATAGCCAGGAAAAGTAGCCTCCCCTTTGGCCAGCCTGACTGCCTTTCTGGAGCATGATGCTCCCAGCAGCCGGAGCCTGTCTTCCCCCTTTCATGCTCCTTGCTCCCACCCTCCCACCCCACAGGCAGCCGCAGAGACACAGGGACACACTAATAAGTCCAGAAAATGTGGGGTTTTTTTATTGACTGTTACAGACACATCTGCCTCCAGAGGGTTTAATGGTACTTGTAGGCCAGAGCATGGGCCACCACGCCGACCAGCTTCTGCCAAGTGGCCTGGCAGGCAGGGGTGAAGTCTTTGTTGAAGTGTGTGGCCAGCACAATGATGAGGATGTTTCCCAGGAGCTGGAGAGGAGAAGGAAGCAAATCAGGTCAACACGGTGCTGAGCACCCCTTCGCCCTGCACAGGACCCAGGGACCAGGGGCTGGAGGGAACCCAGCTCTCTGGGGGGTCCTGGAGACTGCAACCCAGGGAAGCTCTTTTAGGTGAATTCTCCGTGCAGGAAAAAAGACAGTTTCCACCTCCTCTGTCTCTGCTTCATCTCATACCTGCTTTTTCCAGCCTCTAGACTTTATTTCCAGACCTTTTCTGTCGTTTTTTTTTTTTTTTTTTTTTTTTCTGCTGTGAAACCCCATGCCTATTTGAGCAGAGGGTTAGGTCAGTGTAAGGTCTACCTGCTACATCCCCAAAGTCAGGCTTAAATAGAGACTGAAACAGAGGCCATCAGCCATATCTAGCCCCCTCAATCCCTTCCAGTCTGAACTGCTCCCTCTCTTCACCCACAGTGACTTCTCACCCCCCTGCACCCTGATCTCTTTTGCTTCATTCTGCTCCTGCTCCTCTCCCTCATCTGCTGACCTTGTGCCCATGCTCAGACCTGTCCTCTCTGTCTCTAATCCCAGTCTGCATCTCTTCCCATCAGTGTCCAGTCCCTGACCATCCCACACTTGCTCTTCCCTCTCCTCCCATGTCTGCCAGCCTTGGAAAAAGGGGAGACAAAGTGGTCCTCATCCCTGGGGCCAGGAGGTGCCAGGGAGAGGCTGCACATGGCACCGACACAGCGGCAGCACCCTTCAGGCACTTTCTTCCATGTTCTCCACCTCCAGCCCCACTTGGCCTCCCTGCATCCTTCTCCCGCTTTTCTCAAGCCATGCCTGCATGAGCCTCCAGGCTTTCAGAGCGTGTCCCCAAAACCCCTCACAGCCTGGAGCTTGGCATTTCCCTGGCATTATCAAATGCCCAACCTTCCCCACTCCCCTAATTTCCATCCAAGCCAGCCCCTTTCTGTTTGGGAACTAAAATATATGTTATTTATGCTTGTTTGAAACCCTCCAGGCACTGAGATACTCTGCAGGATGGAGAGAGAGAGGGTCAAGCCCCAAGCGCAGCTCACCCTGAAGTTCTCGGGGTCCACATGCAGCTTCTCGCAGTGCAGCTCAGACAGCTTGGCGTAGGTCGCCTTGAGGTTTTCCAGGTTCTTCACGGCTTCCCCAAAAGAGGTGAGCACTTTCTTGCCATGGGCGCGGACCTTGGGGTTGCCAATGATAGCAGTGGGGCTGGAGAGGTTCCCAAAGTTATCAAAGAACCTCTGGGTCCAGGGGTAGACGATCAGCAGCCTGGGGAGAGATGGGGGGACACAAGCAGAGACACAGACATGTTAATGCTCCCAAATGCAATTGCCACGGTTTCTCTATCCAGGGTGCAGCTGAGCAGATGCCCAGGAGCTGGACCTACCTGGCCAGGGCCTCAGCACCGCATTCCTCCACATTGACTTTGCTCCAGACGCTGGCGATGAGCTGCTTCTCTTCGGCTGACCAGTGCACCATGGTGGCAGGCGGCTTTGCTCAGAGCTGCAGGAGGACACAGACCCTGTAGCTGAGCTGCAGACCCCATAGAGGCTTTTATCCCCTGCCGGCAGCTCCTCCCCATCCTGCACTGAGGGGTCATTGGCTGGAGCCGGGGTGGGGGGTCCCCACCAGCAGTGGGTCGGTCTGTCCATGGAGTGGTCAGTCTGCAGTGAGGTGTGGTCTTCAAGTAAAAAGCCCTGTGATTTGCTTAACAGGCAGGCTCAGGACACAATATCCTCTTATCTCCCTCTCCTTCCCCCTGTGACTGCCTGCTCACCACAGGCGTGCACATGCCACCCCATGCCCTGCAGCCTGCAGCAGGCACTGACCCACGTGCAAGGTGCATTACAACAGCTTCGTGCCGGCAGCACCCAACCTTTCAGTCCTCTGCAGGATTTACAGGCTCTCTAAACTTGAGGGATATTTCTCTGATGGGACAGACGACCATAGATTTATGAACTTAGGCACTTCACAGACCCTTCTGCATGGGAGCACACTCTTGGGGATGCCGAGTGCTGTTGCCTTTGGCCGCCGCTCTGCAGCTCTGGGCACACAGACCCACAGAGAAACCCCTGTTCGTTTTCCTAAGCAGGCACCTTTCATCAGGTGAAAGTGTGGAAAACGTCTGCCTGTCAGTCCAGTTCCTCCACACCTGAACCGTGTGCTGGAGATCTACGATGTGCAGCCATGCTTGGTGTTAATGAGACAAAGATGACCTCCTCGTGCTCCAGGTTTCGAGGAATACCTGTGTGGGATGCCAGTGCCGGGGCAGGCTGTGACTGGGGGCAGACTCTTCTGGTCTTTTAGTGTGTTTACAGTATTAACAAGGCAGGCACTTCACTGGCCTCTCTCTGCTGGGAAATTAAATGCCTTGCACAAGGATAGCAGGACCCACCATGTTACAACCAGACCAGCAACATCCATTCCCATCAGTTCAGGGTCTGACCAGTCTTTTGTTTGACTCTGGGTGTCACTTTCCCGTTGAACTACATGGGTATTTTCCTGGTTTTCAGCCTTCAGGTGAAGCTGCGCTCCCATGCTCAGAAAGGCAAAGCCAGGATGCATAAGGTGTAGGGCATCCTGACAAGACCGTGGCCTTTGGGTCTGTCTGTAGGCAGTCTAGGAGGTTTCATCCAGACCTCTGACCCATTCCAGTTGCAGATCAATACTGGTCCATTGATCTCATCGGAGCCACACTGAGCAGTGGCATAAGCCCATCACTATGATCCAGTTGGGGTGGTTTACATCTGTAGTCATGTTTCAGCTCCTTGCCACAGCGTCCTAGGAGGCATTATTCATTTTTTAAAATTTTTTAATCCTAGGCAAGGCCCACAGGCCCCTTTCAGCAGCAAGCAAGCCACCGGAGTGGTCTGATAACACAACGTGGAGCGGAGGCTGCTCAGTGCAGATAAATGTATTGTGCAGGTGGCCAGCGCTTGCTTTAGTTTCCTCACCTAAAGAGCAGACATGCAGTCACACCCTCGGTCCTTAAGGAGATCTGAAGACTTCAGAAGTTGTCAATTTCCAATAAGACAGGACTCAAAGAGTGAAATCAAATGTGTGCAACGCTAAATTCACAGGCACATATTCCCATCATGCAAGTCAGCCAGCCCATACAACTGAGCACAGAGCTGACCAAAACAGCTGTATGCTCAGCTGGGGGATGACAATAAATGACCTAGCATGGCCTTTTTATTTATTACTTCTCTCATCCTATAGTCTGCATATCCTCACAGACCCGCATTGAAAATAAAATCGAAGCTACATCTGGGTCTATTATTAGCAATGCATTTGCCTCATCTGTGACAGGAGTCTCATTTTCAGCTCTGCAAAGCTGAACTTTAAAAGAGAAAAGATAATGATGCTTTTCTTCTGCATTTGAACCAGCAGCATGAAAAAGCTCAAGGAGGGGTGGCAGAGAGCAGGAGGAGTGCGAAGCTGGGACAAGCAGGACAACATCAAACAAACACAGAGGCTTGGAGGAGGGTATTAACTGCAGTATTAATATTAAAAAAAAAATGTGGTCAGTAAGTGCTGTTTTTCTGGACTCTGCAGAAAAGCAGGCAGAGACGTGGCTTGTAGTGAGAAACGTCAGGTCCTGGTCCCATGCTTTGACCCATTCAGGGTCTGTTTTTGCTGGTGCAGTTGTGGGAGCAGGACCACTTCACAGGATGGTTAACGATGGTCACAAAGAGCTGAGAGAAAGGGGAAGGGGCAAGGCAGGGGAAACAGAAGGAAGAGAGGCTGAAGTCATTCCAGCTGTTTCATCGAGGCAAGCTCATTTGGTGCTGCTCTTCTGTACTGACTCCTTTTAATTCATACCCACAGTGATTCTTTAAACCCTTTAAATCCCGTAGGACGGGCACTCATAGAAAAGGAATAATAGCAGGTGAATCAGCCAGCTAATCAGGTTAGGGTCATATCTGAGACTTGTACGCCTCTAGATGTGGAGAGTTCATAATAGCAATGACCTTTTACAGCCATTCTGGGCTGTAAATTCATATATGAGCTTCAGCCTACTCCTACCTCACTGGTCCTTTTGGCTGTGTCCAGTCTAGCACTGGTGCCTTGATTTAACTTGAAGCCCAGAGCGAACTTCCCACCACCACACTGCTAATGCATGTACCCTGTAAAGGGTTGCTCCAGAAAATGGTGCTTGGGGCAAAAGGGGACTTCAGGTTACTGTCCAGGTGAACCCCAAATTCGGGACCAGAGCAAAGCCTTATGTAATGCTCACAGACCGTAAGGAAACCAGCAGACCGGCTGCTATAAACCCATTCAGGATGTCGTCAATGACGAATTCGGGGAAATGCAGAGCAGCAGCAGGCTGGTCTGAATCACCATAACTTATACAACTTTCCCTGGTTGGGACTGCCTGGTTACTAGCCTGAACATGAAAGCCAAGGAGAATTTCTGAAAATGCAATTTTTTTTTCCTTAGGAGGGAAAGGGAGAATAGGAAAGACCACAAACAGAAGAGGTACAGGCACACCACGGTGGACATTCGGAGCAGACTGGAGTTTTACAGCAAGCAGGCAGAGAGCTTGATGTTATTACCACAAGGAGAGTTATCTAATTTAGCTGTGGCTCATCGCCCGAGGCACTCTGCTTTCAACACAAAGACATTTCAAATTGTTTCTGTGCCGTAACAATAAACTAAGGGAAAATATAACTGCAGGTTAAATGAATGCCTCTCTGTACCTAATGTGGATCTCTAATTTCAGGATCCAGGTTTAACCCTTTGTACCCTTTAGGCCTGACTCCAAGAGGTGCGGAGCACCCCTTGCTCTGACTGCTCTGGCCTGAATTTCATGCCACATAATGACTTACTTATCATGCAAGCATGGGCCTCAGTGTTTTAATTGACTTAGAGCCTTTTACTATATTGCTTTAAGTTTGTAGGAAATCTCCTGGGTCTGAAATTTGGGTCTCAGGTGACACTGTCTGGAGGATGGGGGCTGGTTGCAACAGAAATGCACAGAGGACCTCCAGGGCATGGCAGGAGATGTGACCTGACCCTGTTCATACATCCTTGTCCCTATAATCCCCTGTAAAGGGATTCACCGGGACATACTCAGCCCTAAAGCCAGTACAGTGTCATAGGCTATGGGGGGTCAGAGCTGAGTGAGGTGAAGGGATGAGAGGCACAAGGTCAGGCATAAGAGCCAGGATATTCAGGGAAAAGCTAAAGATTTAATTAAAGAGCTTCTGAGTTATCCCTCAACACAAGACTTTGGGTAAAAGCAATCCAGAAATAGGCAAAAGCAGGTTTTTTTATCCATGATGAGCTGTCTCCAAGACAGTCTCATTTGAGGCAGTGTTTTTCTTGCCTATAACCAATTTGATGGTTTGCTCTCACCCTCACTGGGGTTTTCTGCTGCTCAGCAGAAGAGGGACACAGGCTCCTGGCAAGAGGGTCCAGCCTGTGGCTTCCTACCGGAACCTCTGCCCTGGGATGCAAAATGAGTCCACACGAGCTCTGGGCTGGAGGGGACACCCGAGTGGGACAGCTCGAGGGAGGGACATGGTCGGTGCAGCACTTCCCAGGGTGCAGATGGGAAGAGAAACAGGGCAGGGGTTGAGGGACCCAGATGGGGTTTTCCAGCTGTGACCAGATGTGTGATGAGTCTCCATCGCAGCACGGTGCATATTTTGCTGCTGCACCGTGCTGCACCATTGCAGCACCACTTCTCCCAGAGCAGGGCTCTGCCTTGCTTTGCAGTGCTTGGGCCGGTGTAGCATCCCCGGCCGCAGCAACGTAGCACAACACCAAACTATCAGCCTGACAGAGGCTGGCTGGGACCCCGCCGCCCTGGCCATGCCCAGCTCCCCCTCTATCACCTGCAGGCAGCCCATCGCCGCCCACGCCCTGCGAGACCCACGCTAGATAGCTCCTCGCCACCCTCGCTGCAACCCGAGATAAAAACCAGCGCCTGGCCATGCTCAAGATGTGACAGCCTGTTTTCTGCCCCTGGATTTAGCAGAAATGGGCTGGATTATTATTGGGGCTGGGGTCCGGCTCTGCTGCCTGCTGGCATATGCACAGCCATGCAGGCATACCTCCATCCGCACATCACCTGCCTCCATTTGCTAGTCACACCAGTGTGCAGCCCTGGTATCTATGGGGTAAATTGAGTTTTCCTAGCATTTTTTTCTCTTAGGGCAGGTGAGAGGTGTTACAGGACAGGATTTCAGGATCCCCTTCATCACTGCCTAGTGCCCAAAGGCAGTGTTCACACCAGAGCAAAGTGTGTACCAACACAGCTGATCAGGAGGATAGGAGCTGACTCTCAGTCACCGAGCCCTTCCTCTGCTCCTCTAGCGATGTGGGGATCCCTAAATATCTGTTCCCCAGGGCACCTGGGCACTGCCAGAGCAGGAGGTGAGCAGAGCAGAGAGAAAGAGATGGAAAATCAGACCCACAGAAAAGGTCCCTTCTGGGGTCTCCTGCCCATGCAGATTAAATAAGTGATTATAATACCA